TTAAATATTAAGATTCTTTCTTACCTGATGAAAGTATGGTGTGCATGCATACTTTGGTAACAATTATAAAATAACTTTGAGGGAATACCAGAAAATAAACTCTGTTTTGGTTAACCCTCTCTATATATAGTGCTTTATTTTGAAAGTGTTAGACATCCTATATATGTAGAAATTAAATGATTCTGAATTAAAAATGTAAAACTATCAAATCAACTATAATATATTGTTTTACAGTTACATACTGTTAATACACTAGCTAAAACATTTTAAAAGTTAATACTTTGATATTTCACAGTGATCCTTTTACAAGATTATGTTCTAATTTCCTCAGATTAACTTTAAAATATTCTGGGAAACAACAATGAATAAATTAATTATCTTAACTTTTTAAAGGTTATGCATTTGGGCATAAGCTTTTCAAAATTCAATGTTAAGTGTTCTTTAAAGCAAGTAAGTATGACTAATTTGTAATCATTTTAAAAAGCAAGAATTTTAAGTTTGTTTATATAGGATCTGAATTTCCCGTGTTTCCAAAATGAGAAGCTCTTTTTTAAAGGACTTAAAAGAAGTTGATTTTTATTATAGTTGTCTATTTCTGAGATCTCTAAACCTAGATCTTGTTCCATTTATTAGCAATATATAAGAGCATATCAGCTCCTGGTAGTCGTGTCTAAATCTGAACAAAACAGGCGATTTTAATGATCTGTTGAGCTATTTTTAAATGTCACAGATTTCTGGCTACAGGTGTCTCACATTAAAAAACACAGAAAAGAGTGGTTTATTACCTTTGTCTTGTTCCTTTTGTTGCTTTTCCACCTTCGGTGTTGGAGTCCTTTCTTTGAGAGGAAAACCTGTCATCTGTAATGTTTTGATCAAATGATTTGTCTCTATCTTATAGTTCACAGGCGATTTCTGTACATTTTCATATCATTAACTTAATTGAAAGCCAAATTAGGAAACCAAATAAGTTAGAGATAAAGTTGTCCTTTTGCTGAGAAGAACAAATTGCTTACTTCACACCCGGAGAATCCGGTTCTGCCAGTTAACCGCCCATTCTTTAGATTAAAGGAAGATCATTTTCATTGGAGCTAGTTGGTAACAGGAAGTCCTTGTTAAACTGCCTACATGGAGTATTTGGCACAGGTTCTGTAATTCCATTTCTATATTACATATAAAATACATTAGTTAATAAAATGGGAGTTGTAATTAAACAAAGGTTTCTTTGTTGTTGTTTTTTAGGTATCAAAACTTGCTAAAATATACAGAATTCAGAATAAATAGGAATGGAAAGAAGCTTGGTGTAAAAGCTTTTGGTTCCATTTATTTTAAAATGATTGCATTCTAGTCTATTTTAGGAAATCCCAAGGGCTTCACTCATAAAATCATTGAACGACAACTGCCTGAAAGAGCTCCTGTCTTTAAAGCTTCTCCCCCTCTTTTCTTGCTATTGTACCTGGTGTTCTTATTTTAAAATAAGTTTCTTCAGAGTTTTCAATATAGGAAAACTGAAGTTGGGCTGCAATGTTATGCAATTTATTTTATCAATATAACAATTCAAAATTAATTTTTATCAGGGTGAAATATTTGTTTGAAAAATTAGAAATAAAATATCTCTAACATTAGTAAATTTCTTTTAAAAAATATATTTTATTGATTTCTCACAGAGAGGAAGAGAGAGGGACAGAGAGCTAGAAACATCGGTGAGAGAGAATCATCAATCAGCTGCCTCTTGCACACCCCCTACTGGGGATGTGCCTGCAACCAAGGGATATGCCCTGGACCTGAATCGAACCCGGACCTTTCAGTCCACAGGCTGACGCTCTATCCACTGAGCCAAACTGCTTTCGGCAGTAAATTTCTTTACCATCCCTTTTTTTCTGCTTGATTTTTGTGATTTGAGGGTAAGAGGAGGGGCACTAGTATAATTTTTATCAAGGTGACATTTGCCTTTATTCTTTGATTTAGTATACCTACTTCCTGGAATCTGTTCCCAAAATAAAAAATAACTCGTTCCCACAGAGAGGGATTATTTAAGTAATTTAAAACTCAGTTTTTTTTACTGCATTTCTTGTGGAATATATTTTAGAGACAAGAAAAATCACCAAGAGATTTTAACTTGCATTTAGTAATCTTTAATAATGTTGGCATTGTTATCGGAGAAATGTATGGACAGTCTTTCTCCATAGTGGGAGTGGGGTTCTTGGAGGCTGCTGCTAGAATAAGCATTTCTGGAGGCACTCACAGGAGGATGAGATGTGGTAGGAAGCTTTATGTGCATGGAATTATATAAACCTCTCTGTTTCCAAAGTCCCATTTCCCTTAATCCAGTCCTGGATAAACTGCAGCTGAGGTTTCAGGAGAGCTAGAAGCAAAGCCAGTGCCCAGAGTTTCTGTCCCATGTTGGAGCTGGGTCTGGTTTTGCATGAGTCCATTAGTCCATTGTGTGTGGACAAATGCAGGACCATGAGAGTCCTACAAGCCAGGAGCAGGAACCAAGAAGCAAGAGAGCAAACTCCTTTGTTTAGGAGTTTAGGTATCTCAAATCTTCCCATACCTGCAGTGGCCACACCTATCCTGGCCAATGACTTGTCCTCAGATGTGATTGACAGGCAAGTAAGTACCTTCCCTGTTTATTGGGCATGCCTCTAATATTTGGCCTTTCCTTTGCTCCTTTCCAGTTACTCATAACTAGTTAATTACAACGATATCATTATTCTTGTGTTGAAACATATATATTGTAGGATAAAGCAAATAGTTAATATCAGTGTTATTAGGAACTTCATTTTTCAGCATAAGAGAAAAGTGATACAATTTACAATTTAAGAAGTTAAGTAAAAGTGTGATAATATTTTATTAAAAATGGAAAAATCAATATGGGCTCATGATTTAAATTTTTCTTTCTTAAAAAAGCTACCCTCCCCCCACCTTTGTCCATTGAAAAAGGGTCTAGAAAACAATGGCAAGGCAATAGCAATAAATGTTCATAGCACCCAGATTATGGTCTTTAAAATATCAGTCCTTACCGAAAAGAACAAGGGCTCCTTAGGGAGGTGGATGATTCCAAGTCTAGAATATTGTTTCTTACAAAAAAATCAAGAAAATATAAAAAACATGGAGTTGTACAGGAAGAACACAGAAGCCAACACCATGAGGATTTCCACTGACCAAATTGTGTAACTTTGAGCCTCAAAAATAATCCCCCTTCCACCACTCAATCTTCATATGGGGAGTGTGAGAGGCAACTGATCAATGTTTCACTCTCACATCAATGTTTCTTCCTGTCTCCCTCCCCTTTCATCTCTCTCACAATATCAATGAAAAAAAATCTTTAAAAAGTAACTACAATTATTGAAATATAAATATATTTTAAAAATCTATTTCATAATGATATACCACACAAACCAAAAACAGGCAACTTGATCACCTTTGGAGGTAGATATAGCATCAATTTATTAAGAAAATTAGGAAATGAAGCCAAAGGATCAAACATTTACCTTAACTTTTCTCTGAATTGTATTTAAGTAAGAGTTAGCAAGTAATTGATGAAAGCTTACTTTTTAGCAAAAATTCAGTAAATGCAAAAGGAATATAGAACTAGGAAAGTCATGATTTTATAAGCTCTTATAAAATCATGGAATTTAGCAAAGGTCATCAGTGGATGCTAAATTCATTAGATGGGAGTATTTTGGCTGAATCAGGCCGACTCCAGCTGAATCCACTGATTCATTTTACATCACTAAATGGTGCAACCAGATGCTTTCAAAGTAACCAACTCAATGTGGATAATTTATATATATTGAAGAGGAAGGAAGAAGGAGAGAGATAGAAACATCAGTAATGAGAGAGAATCCTTGGTTGGCTGCCTCCTGCACAATCCCCACTGGGAATCGAGTCAGCAACTCAGACATGTGCCCTGCCTGGGAATTGAACTCTGACCTCCTGGCTCATTGGTCGACACTCAACCACTAAGCCATGCCAGCCAGGCCATGTAGATAATTTTTAAAGATAGATGATAAGGGTTCATTAGATTTATTGTTCTATATAATTGTTAAATAATATATTTTCACCTGAAATATCTATCAAACCCTGACCAAGACAGTGTGTTATTAAACTTTTTTACCTCTGCCATCTGATAACAAATTGTGTTATTTTGTGATAACTTTTTTTTTTTTTTAAGAACTTGTTTTGGTCCAGCTGGCATGGTTCAGTGACTGAGCATCAACCTGTGAATCAGGAGGTTACAGTTTGATTCCCAGTAAGTGTACATGCTTGGGTTGCAGGCTTGATCCCCAGTTTGGGACATGCAGGATCAGATCAGTGATTCTCTCTCATCATTGATGTCACTCTCTCTCTCCCTCTCCCTTCCTCTATGAAATCAATATATATAAAGAACTCTTTGTGTTTTTTATTTTGTTGTTCCCCAGTTTGTTTCTAATGTAATATAATGTTCTTTAGGTGCTGTGTTATGCAAAATAAATGAGATAGAAATGACCCTACCTCTCCAATGAATTGCATGATTTATGTGGACACATTCACACACTGGAAATACAGATGAGCTCAAATATAATACTTCAAGCTCAGAATGAACATTTGAGTATTTAAAACATGAATATTTTGTATTTTCAGAAGATAAGGACATAAGATAAGGATATTTGCATCATGATGTATGTATTTTAAGAAGATAAAGACATAATTAATGTGAAAATTAGAATTGATGGCTGAGGCCTATGAAAACTAGTTTGTTTCTATCTTGTTGGCCTATTGACCTGTTGCTTGTTTTCTTAACCTACTTGACTTCTCTTTCTTAGGTCAATTCTTAAGAACTTATTTTAGCTATAAAATAAAGGAAAAAATGGTGAAATAGATTCTGTAGTACTCTCTTAAACCAGTATATTCTGTAGTCAGTAGGTTTAAAACTCTGGGATGAGAACATGGTGAAAATATTTTTAAGTGGCTGATTACATATTTGCTATAAAAATACTTTATTTATATCTCAATAGGTTGGCAAATAAACAAGACAAGGAAGGGGCTTTAGGAGAAGCTGATGTGATTGAAAGTCTGTCTCTGGAAAAAATGGTCAATGAACACAAGTGCCTATGTCAGATAGTAAGTTTTGGGGTTTGTTTTCCTTTTTCCCTATGAAATATGTTCAGTATAACTTAGTTTTTGTAAAGGTGAAAGGCAATTAGGTGGCAGACAGCTAACAAAATAATGTGTTAGTGTTTTAAAAGAACTTTTTTTTTTAAATCACATTCTCACTGTTTTTGTTGTTATTATTTAATACTAGTAGCCTGCACATAAATCCATGCTCTAGTAGCTCACCAGTAGCTCATTGCTTCCCTCCAGTAGCTCTTCACCTGCTGTCCTGCCTCCTCCTATAGCTTGCTGCCCCACCTTCCTGCTGACTTGTGATCCGGTCATTACATGGTCGGTCATTAGGCATGTTACATATTTATTATATAGGATTGTAATATTTGTTTTCTATTTAGTTGTTATTGACTTCCATAAACTGTCTTTTGAGATTTCAAAGACTCTCAATTTGCTTTTTGTTTAAGATAGTGCTGACAAGCTATACATCTTGCTATATTTAAAAAAAAGTACATTTTTATTGATTTTGGAGAGGAAGGGAGTGGAAGAGAGAAGAAACATCAATGATGAGAGAGAATCATTGATTGGCTGCCTCCTACACTCCTGTTATTGGGGATTGAGCCCACCACATGAGCATGTGTCTTGATAGGGAATCGGCAAACCATGACCTCCTGATTCATAAGTTGATGCTCAACCACTGGGCCATGCCAACCAGGTAAATTTTTTAAATGGTAAAGAAAACATATAAATACAAAATTTAAACATACGAGAGGTTTGCAATGAGTTTTGAAAAATCTCATCAAGAGAGTTATATAATCTTAAGAAAGATGGGCCCAAGATGTAAGTATTCTGGTTTCAGAAGATGGAGACATTAGATTGTCAATCTTAAAAGATGATTTCTGCTATTAATTCCTTAAGGACTGGAAGTTCAATTTTGTCTTCCAGTGAGTTTGTTTTAACTGGCACTGCTGACTTCCTGTGTTATAGTATCTCTCACAGCTTACAGATTCTATACTTGAAATATTTCAGCTTCTATGTACTAATGTTAGTGGTCATTGCAATGGTATATTTTGTGAATTAAATAAGCAGGTGCTTTATATCATTCATTTAAGGGGTTAATTTTGATTTACAATAATTATACTTACTGGTTTTTGAGTAGATTTTTGTGGAGAACTTTTAGTTTTCATGTTTAAGCCAAATAAATTGGTGTTTTTCAGGAACCTTGTTCAGCAATCTTGGGATCTGGAAAGAAAATTGACAAATCCATTAAAAAGGGCCTTTATTGGCTACTAGATATCATTGCAAGAGATTTTGATGCCTTAAATGAACGCATCCAAAAGGACACAACAGAACAACGTGCTCTTGAGGAACAAGAGAAACGAGAAAGGGCTGAACGAGTGCGAAAATTACGAGAAGAAAGGTAAGTAGATTAATTTTGTACCACAGTCCACTATCATTTATTGAGAAACCCTTATTTAACCTCAGCAAAGACAGAAGCAAGCTGATAGGGGATCAATCAACTGAAGCAAAATCTGATATTCAACACTAGTTTTCTCACAAAATAAACTAAATTATACTGTTTTGGGTTTTTTAAATATATTTTTCAAATTATTTTAAAATATATTTCCTGAAAGGAAACTTTTAAACTAAATTTATCAAACTTTGAATTAAAAAAACAATGATTTCATAAATTCTACCACAGAATCACTTCTAATAATCTTAATTCTGTGAAAAAAGTACTCATATTTGATTAAAATACAAATTTGGCACTTTATCCCAAGATTTCTCTCCGTCCCCTCGCCCCCAACTAGATAGTTGCATAGTAGGGGAGAAATCAAAAGATATTTAAGTGAGCTCTTACAAGATCTAAAGTTGTCTTCCATATACCTAAGAAATATTAGCTTTCTATATGCTCTAACATATTTGCAACCTAGTAGACATAAACCCACTAAACTGCCTTTGTTGTGCCTTTGTGAGGTATTTTCTTACACTGAAAGGAAATCGTCTGATTAAAGGTATCTTTCATTTAATTTAGAGGTAGGACTTGAAGGAAAAAAAAAAATACTTGTAGAGATAAATCCTATTGCCAAGTGCTCAATAATATGAACAGATCATTTATCTAGGATCTCTCTTGATACTGATTGAAGTTTTAGTTCCTGTGAGAAATTTGGTATTCTATATACAAAAAAATATATATTTTTGTAAATATACAAAAATTTGGGATATTTTCATGATGTAAAGCTCAGTAAACCAATCATTAATGTAGTTCTACCTTTTATATACTTATAAAAATAAAGTATATGACTATACTTTTCTGAAGACTCCTTTGCTTTTATTCCATTAAGAAAACAAACAAAGAGAACAAAAATATTGAGCTGGATAAAAGAAATCTGATGTTAGTTATTTTCCCCCCGCAGTTCTTACCTTTTTCATAAAGATGTTCTAGGTGTGTGATGGCAGGCTTTTCTAATAGCCATTCCCCTTTCCTCCTTTCTCTTAGCCATACTATGTGTGGTCTAAGGCCTCTACTGTTGAGCATAGTCTCCATAATTAAAAGTAAATTGGAATTTAGAGAAGAGTATTAAAAAAAAACAACAAAACTTTTTACTTTATTAAATCCAATCTTAAAGTTACAAATATTTTTTAAAAACTGTAAAAAAATTGTTCTTGGTATGTGAAAATAGTAGTATAATACTAGATACCTGAAACTGCTTGCTAATAAATTAATAACATTAATAACAATTACTGTGCTATAAGTGCTTTCACATATATTATTTTAGCTGAAACAACCCTATGAAGTAGATATTTAAAAAAAAAAATATTTTATTGAGAGTTAGAAACATCGATGAAAGAGAATCATCGATCAGCTGCCTCTTGCACACCCCCTACTGGGGAATTGCCCGCAACCAAAGTACATGCCCTTGCCCGGAATCGAACCCGGGACCTTTCAGTCCGCAGGCCGACGCTCTATCCACTGAGCCAAACCGGTCCTGGCTGAAGTAGATATTTTTACCCACATGAGAAAACTTTCATTCAAACATCCACATACATGTCCAAGGTCACAGAGGTCGTAAATTGCTGAGTCTTGATTTGCTATGTTCAGAATGAAAGGATAGGTCTTTCCATCAGAGGACATAATTAATAAATGTCATAGTAATGAACATTCACATTGCTGTACTATAGTTGCAGCCCATTTGCAGATCTACACTAGTCACCAGCTTCTTGTTTATAACTTAATTACTCTTCATGTATGGGGCAACATTAACTAAAAGTCACAGAGATAGTGAATGTTTCATTAGTAACAAATATGGGAATACTTAATATAAGTGAGATAGTGCAACTTATCTTTATAGCCTCTTCTATTATGCAAACCAGCAGTCACTATCTAGTTCATATATGATAAGTAATTTGACACAGCCCTTGAGAAGAGGATTAACAAGAGGATTCATTTATCTGTTATCATCAATGAAGAGGACAGCACTGGTTTGGGATGGTAATTAATAAATTGATAAATATAATAACTTAGCACATAGGATAATTAATATGCACTGTTGACATTAAGAAATCAGCCATAGGGAATGCTATTTTTGTCATTTCTATCTTTTAAAAGTTCATATGAATAATCTTTACAGAGGGGTAGAGGCCTGTAAACTGCATAAGGATTTCTGAAAATCTCTCAATAATTTAAAGCCATATCAAGATGTTTAAATTACTAAACTTAATAGCCTTAAAAACTATAATATTTCAAGTGTTCTTAAACATGGTTCAGCATTTTCTCAGGAATTACAATTTTTCCCCCTCAAACAATAGAGAACAAAGAGAGCGAGAGCAGGCTGAACTCGATGGAACCGATGGTCTGGCTGAGGTGGATCCAGAACCAATTATTGTTAATCCTTTCCAGCCGATAGCGACTGTAATCACTGAGGTATGGATGGTGGCAAATGTGATATTTATATCGTAAGTTTTAAAGTTGGCAGGGAATTGGGAAAGGAGGTAGGGAGGTAGAAGTAAGTATTTCACCAGAGGCCCATTACCATTATTTATAAAAATAAAAAAATAAAAAAATAAAAATTAAGTGGAACAGACAGATTAAGATTTGCTACTTTTTCATCCTCTTCAAATATATCTTCAGATCTAGCATAAACAGGAAATCTGACTTAAGAATTCACTGAGAATGAAAATGAAGATTGAATATAGCAACTGTAATAGTTACTGTTCTGATAAATTATTTTTTGGCATTTATTTCAGCTGGTGGTAATATATTCGCTCTTATTTACATTGTCTCTTTGGCCCTGTATCGCTGTTACTATCATCTCTTTACAGTAATATTTAGATGCATAAATGAATTTCTAATTGTTTACTGAAGAGTGTTTGAAATTATGATAAACTAGAGGCCTGGTGCATGAAATTTGTGCGGGGGGGGGGGGGGGGGTGTCCCTCAGCCCAGCCTGCACTCTCTCTAATTGGACATCCCTCTCATAATCCAGGATTGTTGGCTCTCAACCGCTCATCTGCCTGCCTGCCTGATTGCTCATAACCTAAGGTGATGAGATGTCCCTCTTTTGGCGGGACAGTCCCAATTTTTAACAATTTGTCCTTCGTGCTGCAGCGTTTTAAAAAAGTCCAAAAGATTTAAAAGAATCTTTAAAAAAAATTGGGACTTTTTTAAAACGCCGCGGGACGCAGGACAAATTGTTAAAAATCGGGACTGTCCTGCCAAAAGTGGGACGTATGGTCACCTTATCCTAACTGCTTCTGTCTGACAGCCTGATCACCCCCTAACCACTTCCCTGCCAGCCTGATTGACATCTAACTGCTCCCCTGCAGACCTGGTCACCCCCAACTGCCCTTCCCTGCAGGCCTAGTACCCCCAACTGCCCTCCCCTGCTGGCACCAGTCACCCCTAACTGACCTCCCCAGCCAGCTTAGTTCCCTCCAACTGCCCTGCCCTGCTGGTCTGATCACCCTCAATTGCCCTCCCCTGCAGGCCTGGCTCCCCCCAACTGCCCTCCCCTGCTGGCACTGGTCAACCCTATCTGCCCTCCCCTGCTGGCACTGGTCGCCCCTAACTGCCCTTCCTTGCAGGCTTGGTCACCCTCAACTGCCCTCCCCTGCCGACCTGATTACCCCTAACTGCCCTCCCCTGCCAGCCATATTGTGGCAGCCATTTGCATCCACATGGGGACAGCCATCTTTGACCACATGGGGGTGGCCATCTTGTATGTTGGAGTGATGGTCAATTTGCATATCACTCTTTTATCAGATAGGATTCTATTTGTGAATATGATTTATTTTTTTATTTTAATTATCAGTAATTTTACCAAAATTAATTTGTAGATTATAATCATGAAGAAGTTAAGTGTGTGTGTGTGTGTGTGTGTGTGTGTGTGCGTGTGCGCATACTTGCACGTATTTGTGTCTTTGTTTTCATTTTTGACAGAGAATTTGCATTAGACTTACTTTAATTGCCCTCAGCAGCCAAGCCTCCTCAAAGGCAGAGCTTCCTCAACTTCCCCTCTATTCACCAGAGCTTAATGTGGCAGTTGGTTTATTGGTCCCACTGCCTGCATGTTCTCCATTCCTCTTCCCCTGTCACTGCCTCCTTCCACACAGGTGCTCATCTGGAAAGGTGGATGATTGTTTTCTCCTGGGGCTGCTGCTGAGGAGGGAGGCAGCTCCATAGGTAAGAAGATGATTGGATAATCTTGGTATTCCTTTAATTTGCAAATTAGTTGGTAATATGAATTATTTATATTTAAGTTTCTTAGGTACCAGAGGTTAATGGTACTTAGTCTTTTTATTAATCCCATTGCATTTAACTGTGTGCTTTTCTAAGTATAGTAAAATTGTCTTAATAACTTAAGCTATCCTTTTGTCTCCATCCTATTAAATATGCCCAAGTTTTCTTTTATGCTCTTTAAAAATATTGATGAAGAAGAGGGAAATCAACTTTGACTCTTCACTTTGAAACATTTAGTTATGTGTGTAATAAAGCTCACCTTGTAAATGATAGCCAATTTTATAGTACCACTAGAAGCCTTAAGCACAAAATTCGTGCAAGGGGCTTAGCCCTTGCAGCTGCAGCTTCGTCCAGAAGGTTGTTCGGAAGGTCATTTGGCTGTCAGGTCTAATTAGCATATTATGCTTTTATTATAGATGGTTATTTAGAAAAGGTCTTAGTACTTCTACCAACATTGTATATTTTACTTAATAAAGATGTAAAAATATCTTATATTGAAAGTCCCTGAATTAATTAGTGGCATGGGGAACATGCACTTATTATGCTGTTAAGCTACAATAATTTTAAGAAGATGATCAGTAAATAAATGAAACAAATGAAAACCAATTACTTGTAGACTATTTTATACCAAGTATATTTTCTTTTTTACACAAAATTTCAAAATGTTTGTATTTTAGAGAAGCACCTCACATTCCTTTTATTTTTATCACAAATAATAAAACTGGTGAGGTATTGGTTCCAGAACAGACAGAGAGACTAATGGAACATTGGTAAACATGCAATAAACATAATTATGTCTGAGCATTTTGTATAAGATAAAGGTGACATTTCAAATGTGGGAGAAGAGGATTTTGGGACAACTGAATAATCATTTTGCAAAAAGTAAAATTAATAAACACTGTATATACCAAATTAAAACCCCAGAAGACTTAAAGGTATTTAAAAAAAAAAAATAAGCCTTAAAAATACTAGCACATAATATTAACATTTGTATATATGTGGAAAAGGAAAAACTTTCAAAGCAGGACAATCAAACCACAAGTCAATAAATAAAAATAGATCTTATTATATTCCATTTTAAGAGCTTTTCTGCAAAGTTACAGGCAATGACCAAACCCCAAGGAAAAATATTTGAGACACATAGGACAAAAAAAAAAAAAAAATCTTAAAAATTACTATAAAAATAATGATAACAAAATAGAAAAGGGTACATTGGTGTACTATGGGTAATTTCCTAAAGAAAAATAAGCATGGCAATAATATTATTTAATAGTTCACCTTCATAGTGATAAACAGTATTGAAATCAGTAGGTTAAATCAACGCTAAGGTAAAAACATTTATTTAGTAGTTTCAACCTTTTGCCTAGGGTGTAAATTGATATTCATTTTTCTGAAGTGAAGTTTGTAGTATTCTAAATAATTCAATAGTTGTGTGTGTTTTTTAAATAGTGAAAATTGAAAGTAACCTCTTAGTTCATCGATTGGGACTTGGTAAAATAAGTTATGGTATAACAATTCAAAATGATAATATAATTGGTGAAAGTAATCATAGCTAACACTTTATGAAGTGTAAGGCACTATTTTATTTATTTATTTTTTCCTTTCAGAAATTTGTTTCCCTTTGATTTTTATTTATTTATTTATTTATTTTACAATATTTATTTTTTATTATTTTTTATTTATTTTTAATATATTTTATTGATTTTTTTTGTCCCCCTCTCTCCCTCCCACACATCCCCTCCCTCCCCAGAGTTTTATGTCCATTGGTTGTACTTATATGCATGTATAAAAGTCCTTTGGTTGATCTATTAATATTATCTCCCCCAGATCTTCCTCCCCTCCCCGCTGTAATTTGACAGTCTGCTTGTTGATATACTGTCTCTATATCTATCTTTTGGTTCATCAGTTTATAATGTTCTTTATTATCCACAAATGAGTGAGGTCATGTGGTGTTTCTCTTTCATTGATTGGCTTATTTCACTCAGCATGATATTCTCCAATTCCATCCAGGTTGCTGCAAATGATGAGAATTCCTTCTTTTTTATGGCAGCATAGTACTCCATTGTGTAGATGTACCATAGTTTTTGGATCCAATCATCTGCTGATGGGCACCTAGGCTGTTTCCATATTCTGGCTATTGTAGATTGTGCTGCTATGAACATAGGGGTGCAAATATCCTTTCTGATTGGTGTTTCTAGTTTCTTGGGATATATTCCTAGAAGTGGGATTACTGGGTCAAATGGGAGTTCCATTTTCAGTTTTTTGAGGAAACTCCACACTGTTCTCCACAGTGGTTGCACCAGTCTGCATTCCCATCAGCAGTACACGAGGGTTCCTTTTTCTCCGCAACCTAGCCAACACTTGTCTTTTGTTGATTTGTTGATGTTGGCCATTCTGACAGGTGTGAGATGGTACCACATTGTTGTTTTGATTTGCACCTCTCGGACAATTAGTGACTTTGAGTATGTTTTCATATGCCTTTTGGCCTTCCTTCTGTCTTCTTTTGAAAATTTTCTATTTAGGTTCATTGCCCATTTTTTAATTGGATTATTCATCTTCCTTTTATTTAGTTGTATAAGCTGTTTGTAGATGTTGGAGATTAAACCTTTATCAGTGGTATCATTTGCAAATGGGCTTTCTTGTTGTTTTGTTGTTGGTTTCTTTTGCTGTAAAAAAGCTTTTTATTTTGATGTAGTCCCATTTGTTTATTTTCTCTTTAGCTTCCATTGCCCTAGGGGTAGTATCAGTGAAGAAGTTCTTTTGGCATACGTCTGAGATTTTATTGCCTGTGGATGCTTCTAGTATTTTTATGGTTTCCCGTCTGATGTTTAAGTCCTGTATCCATTTTGAGTTTATTTTTGTGAATGGTGTAAGTTGGTGATCTAGTCTCATTCTTTTGCAGGTGTCTGTCCAATTTTCCCAACACCATTTATTGAAGAAACTGTCTTGACTCCATTGTATATTCGTGCCTCCTTTGTCAAATATTAATTGAGCATAGTAATTTGGGTTGATATCTGGGTTCTCGATTCAATTCCATTGATCTATATGTCTGTTCTTGTGCCAGTACCAGGCTGTTTTGAGATCAGTGGCTTTCTAATATCGTTTGAAGTCTGGTATTGAGATCCCTCCTACTTTACTCTTTCTCAGGATTGCTGTGGCTATTCGGGGTCTTTTATTGTTCCAAATGAACTTTTGGAGATTTCTTTCTAGGCCAGTGAAATATACCATTGGTATTTTAATGGGGAGTGCATTGAACCTATAGATTGCTTTAGGAAGTATGGACATTTTGATGATGTTGATTCTACCAATCCCTGAACATGGTATGTTCTTCCATCTCTTTACATCTTCCTATATCTCTTTTTTCAGTGTCGTGTAGTTTTCCGCATATAGGTCCTTTACTTCCTTAGTTAAATTTATTCCTAGGTATCTTAATTTTTTTGGTGCGATGGTAAATGGAATTGCTTTTTTAGTTTCTGTTTCTGCAGTTTCACTGTTGGTGTATAGAAATGCCATGGATTTCTTGGCATTAATTTTGTATCCTGCTACATTGCCAAATTCATTTATTAAGTCAATTAGTTTTTTAATGGAGTCTTTTGGGTTTTTTATATACAATATCATGTCATCTGCAAATAAGAATAACTTTATTTCTTCTTTTCCAATTTGGATGCCTTTTATTTCCTCCTCTTTTCTAATTGCAATGGCTAGTACTTCCAGTACTATGTCAAACAGGAGTGGTGAGAGTGGGCATCCCTGTCTTGTTCCTGTTCTTAGAGGGAATGGTTTTAGTTTTTGCCCATTGAGTATAATGTTGGCTGTGGGTTTATCATATATAGCTTTTATTATGTTGAGGTATGATCCTTGTACTCCCACGTTGTTGAGAGTTTTTATCAGAAAAGGGTGTTGGATTTTATCAAATGCTTTTTCTGCATCAATTGATATGACTATATGATTTTTATCTTTCAATTTGTTTATGTGATGTATCACGTTTATTGATTTGCGGATATTGTACCATCCTTGCATTCCTGGAATAAATCCTACTTGGTCGTGGTGTATGATCTTTGTGATGCTCTGCTGGAGCCGATTTGCTAGAATTTTGTTGAGGATTTTGGCATCTATATTCATGAGGGATATTGGCCTATAATTCTCTTTCATTGAGTTGTCTTCATCTGGTTTTGGTATTAGGGTGATGCTGGCTTCATAGAAGGAGTTTGGAAGTGTTCCTTCCTCTTGGATTTTTTGGAATAGTCTGAGGAGGATAGTTTTTAGTTTTTCCTTGAATGTTTGGTAAAACTCTCCTGTGAAGCCATCTGGATGTCAGGCAGTATTTTAAAAAATATATATATTCTTAATTAAAAACTAGTTCTTTTTTGTTTAAAAACAAATACATTAATATGTACATATAAACAATCTATCACATTTTTGTATGTTTGTGGGTGGTGTATGTCTGTATGTGTGTGGTAGGCAAAGAGAAGCATCTCTTAGTGATGATATACCAACTAGTGGTTATCTCTAGATTGTGGAATTACTGGTAGTGGTTGTTTCATTCTTTTATGCAATCTGTTTTCTGAATGTTTGATAATTAGTATATTTTAGTGATGTTTTTAACAAGTAATTTTAATGGAATTATCGCAGTTCCCTGATGGTATAGGAAACTCTTGGATTATTTTATTTTTCTCTTAAAATTATCATAGATACAACTGTTATATTAAAGAAGATATATTTCATTTTTCTTAGAATGAAAAAAAACTTGAAAGAGAGAAAAAGAGGCAAAATGCGGAGAAAGACTGTGATGCTTGCCCCCTGAGAAATAAAATGGAGTGTGAGCAGATGGAGACACAGAGCCAGATCAGTGACAGTAGCCAAAAAAGCAATGAGTTTGGAACCATAGAAAACTATAACGAAGCATTAACACAGCAGTTGGAGAATGAAGATGAGGCAGACCAGCCATCATCAGAATCAGGTAAATTTAGTTATTCAATAAAAAAGATAAATATATATATAACTTTACTTCTTTCACCTGTCATCATTATTTTCACACAAAATATATTTTTTGTCTGCAAATGCAGCATTTATCATGGGTTTCTCATGGTTTTTACTCATTAGTTTGCCAACTTATGTTTTTATTCATGATGCCTTAAAATATAGTCTTTTGTAATGAATTTCAGCAGAAAAAACTTTTTTTTTTAATATATGTTATTGATTTTTTACATAGAGGAAGAGAGAGGGATAGAGAGTTAGAAACATTGATGAGAGAGAATCATTGATCAGCTGCCTCTTGCACACCCCCTACTGGGGATGTGCCCACAACCAAGGTACATGCCCTTGACCAGAATCGAACCTGGGACCTTTCAGTCTGCAGGTCGACACTCTATCCACTGAGCCAAACTGGTTTCGGCAGAAATTTTTCTTATTTTACTTTCATAAATTTGGAATATAGCATAGCCCCAGGAATTCTTGGAATGTATTTAATACTGTTTTGAGGTTTTTATTTGTTTCTTTTTAAGTCTTATAATGCTACAGTCAGCATCACTTTATTTATTGACATGCTATTTCTGTAGGATACAGACATAATCAGTTGAACATTATAAGTCTTATCAAATAGTTATTTTCCTCTTATTTTAATACCATCAAATTTTCAGTTCATAATTACTTTTGTTTTTCTCAGTGGTTATGTAATTTAACAGCAAATTCATGTATTTTGGTATCATAAAGACACAGCCTGTGTCTGGAATCAGACAACCTGGGATAGAACCCTGACTTTTCCATCTACTAGACATGTGCTATGTTATATGACGTTCTTCAGTCTTCCTCATCTCTAAAATGGAAATAAGAATCATTTTGTACATGGATTTTAGGGTTACTTATGGAAAAAATAACTACAGTGTTCAAGCACAGGCCTGACGCATGGGAGCTACCTAGTACTGTAATTATTAGTTTCTTGCCATTCCTAGTTAGCAGTTTGGCTCCATTATATATGAGAATTTTTATACAGTATCAAAAAGTTCATAAAAATAGATTTTAATCTTGAGGTATAGATTAGCTAACATGGATATTTTGCTATTTAGCAATAATTAGATTTGAAAGTTATTTTTTAAATTAAATCTTTATTGTTCAGATTATTACAGTTGTTCCTCTTTTTTCCCCCATAGCTCCCCTCCACTCAGTTCCCACCCCACCCCACCCCATGCCCTTACCCCTGCCACTATCCTCATCCATAGGTGTATGATTTTTGTCCAGTCTCTTCCCGAGAATTGTCAGTCCACTCCCTTTCTATGCCTCTGATTCTATTATATTCACCAGATTATTCTGTTCATCAGATTTTTTATTCACTTGATTTTTAGATTCACTTGTTGATAGATATGTATTTGTTGTTCATAATTTTTATCTTTACCTTTTTTCTTCTTCCTCTTCTTAAAGAATACCTTTCAGCATTTCATATAATATTGGTTGGGTGGTGATGAACTCCTTTAGTTTTTTCTTATCTGTGAAGCTCTTTATCTGACCTTCAATTCTGAACGATAGCTTTGCTGGGTAGAGTAATCTTGATTGTAGGTTGTTGCTACTGGTATTCATCACTGAATATTTCTTGCCACTCTCTTCTGGCCTGCATAGTTTCTGTTGAGAAATCAGCTGACTGTTGTATGGGTGCTCCCTTGTAGGAACTGTTTTTCTCTTGCTGCTTTTAATATTCTCTCTTTGTCTTTTGCTCTTGGCATTTTAATTACGATGTGTTTTGGTGTGGTCCTCTTTGGATTCCTTTTGTTTGGAGTTTTCTGTGCTTGTGGGCTTGTAAGTCTAATTCTTTCACCAAGTGGGGGAAGTTTTCTGTCATTATTTCTTCAAATAGGTTTTCAGTGTCTTGCTCTCTTTCTTCTTCTGGCATCCCCATAATTTGGATGTTGGTATGCTTGAAGTTGTCCCAGTGGTTCCTTACACTATCTTGATATTTTTTGGATTCTTTTTTCTTTTTGCTTTTCCAGATGGGTGTTTTTGCTTCTTTGTAGTTCAAATCTTTGACTTGATTCTATGATCCTCTAGTCTGCTGTTGGGTCTCTGTATATTATTTTTTATTTCAGTCAGTGTATGCTTAATTTCTAGTTGTTTTTTTTTTTTGTTTGTTTGTTTGTTTTTTCATATTCTTGAGGGTCTCACTAAATTTATCAGTGGTTTCTAGGAAATTCTTGAAAAACCTTGTAACCATGGATATATCCAGTAGTTTGCTTTCCTCCATTTCTGTTATTTGTGACCTGTTTCTTTGTCTCCACATTTTGGCTGCTTCCCTGTGTTGATAGAGTGGCTTTGTGTGCTAAGTGTCCTATAGGGCCCAGTGGCTCAGCCTACCTAGTTACCTGAGGTAGACATTCTAGGTGCACCTCTTTGTGGGCACAGTCTTGTTATAGTTAAGCCTTGGTTTTTGTTGGTATCACTGGGAGGAATTGACCTCCAGGCCAATTGGCTCTGAGGATCAGCTCTGTCTACACTGGGAGAATTTCTGTGCTGGAGACACACTTATAGGGAAGACTTGGTCCAGTGGGGCTTTGGTGCTCACTGAGTCTGCCCCCTGAGTCTGTCCCTTTTGGATCTGAGGAGTTGTAATTTGGGTGGTCCCACTCTGAGCCCTGGGTACATTGGCTCTTGGATCTCCAAGGAGGTGCTAATTTATCCTCTGCCTGAGGCCACCCAGCAGGAGCTATGGAGAGAGTTGCAGATTCCTCTTCTTTGCTTGGATTTTGGAGGTGCCCAGATGAGACCCAGCTGTGAAGTAATGCATGCTGCTGTGGGGCCTTGGGCCTAATTTTGGATGTTCTGGGTCTCTCTGACTCAGCTGCAGTTTGTTAGGTAAATTTAGATTTCAAAGAACAGGCCATTCATATGCAAATACCTCTGCTCACTTTAGCTGGGGCGAGGTCTCAGGGCAGAGCAGACAGCAATGGCTTCTCGTTAGCCCTACCCTAAGAGGCCCCCAGGTCTCAGTTTCCCTTGCTAATTGCTGCAAGCACCTCTGAGACAAAGCTGCCCTTGAGTTCCACCTGCTGCCAGATTGTCCAGTTTCTCTCTGTATGAGTCTAGGTCCCCAGAGTCTTGCCCGGAACTGGAGTTCAGAGCAGTCAGGAGCTTAGCTTGTATCTCCCGGCGGATTAAAAAAGCCAGCTGTGTACTCAGTTGCCAGCCCTCTCTGCATGCACACCTCCGTACCTTCGCACTTTACTTCTGCAGCTCCTCTGAATCTCAGTGTGCTTTTCTCTTTCCTTCTAGTTGTAGAATTTCCACTTAGCCAGCCTTCCTGTGGTTCTGTATGATGTCCTTTTTGTCTTTTAGTTATAGTTTTGAAGTGGTTGTGCGAGGCAGCAAGTTCAGGTATTTACCTATGCTGCCATCTTGGTTTTCTTCGAAAGTTATACTTCTTGTAAGTGGGGAAGTTAGAGTAGCCATATTCCGACCCATAGCTCAGTTAGAAGAGTTACACAGAAGGTAGACTTAGAGTAGTCTCTCAATATATTTAAAGAACTTTTTCTAACACAAATACATTGTTAAAGAGCAAAATCATTTGACAGATATTTGGAAATAAAGTGTAGGAAGATGTAAGCTAGTCAATCATAAAACTATAATAATTGTTATAATTAACATTTTATTTTATAATTTATAACATGGCTTCAGATGCCTTATGTTATTATTTAGCATAGCAGTCCTAGGGTATATTATTCCCATTATATAGAATAGGAAACCAGGAACTTGAAGAGGTTGAGTAACTTATTTAAAGTTAACTGCCACCCGTCCAAAACGGAAACCATCCTCACCAGCCATGATATTTTGAATTTAATTTAAAAAATCAATTTGCAATGAATATTATAACAGTAAATATATTACTCATAATTTAGGTGTCCTTGAATATTTTCAGTTGAAAATTCTCACAAAAAATATTTTTAAAAGTGTCTATAGATGGTTATGGCATTTAAAATCATACATCTTGTCTGTGGCTGGGGTGAGACCCCACTTCAGATCTTGTGGTCTATCTTTTATGCTCTTTCATGACCCAAGTTACTGTCCATCCTAAAGTACCATATCATTCTGGAGGCTCTCTTTGCTTTCTTTTAGCTGTAAAGCTTGTAGTCCTAATTATAGAAAGATGTCTTTGTTTCTATCTGTAGTAAATGTGTCAAATGGCACTAACTGATTTAGAAAATATGTTTCTAAATATTATTGCATTTTTCATTGCTTTGTTTACACTAGGGTGTCCCCCCAAAATATAGACACATACTGTGAGTAATTATAAAGGCAGTGTTTATTAAAATACATTTCATTTTCAAAATTGAGCTGTCAGCTATTATAGTGTTTTTACATTTTTAAAAATAATTTCTTAGGTAATAGATAATTCCCATTTTAGAAAATATATTATGTAGTATATAAAGTTAGTTTGGGATTGTCAATGAAAATGTTTTAGTAACTTTAATGTTTGGTTATTTAACTATGCCATTCCTGGCTTACATTGTTAAAGTCTACATGTTAACAACATACATGTCCTTAAAATGTTATGTGTTTAATTGGAATATGTAAATATATTGTAATTATTTTTTTCCAAAGAACACAAATTCAGTTCTGCAAATTCTAATGTGGATTTTGATTATATATGTATTTGGGCATATGTTATTTTAATGGGTAATGTGTTTAGGTTTTATTGGGGTCTTTTTCACATTTCAAAGAATTATTTTGAACCATTTATACCTAGAATATATTATATGAACCTTCTTTGTATTCTGAATAACTTCTCTTATAACCTAGAATATAGGTTTTTGTTATTTATATCATATTCATTAATTATTTAATAAGGAAACATTAATAATTTAATTACTTTTTCAATATATTTTATTTTTTACAGAGAGGAAGGGAGAGGGATAGAGAGATAGAAACATCGATGAGAGAGAAACCAATCAGCTGCCTCCTGCACACCTCCCACTGGGGTGTGCCCACAACCAAGGTACATGCCCTTGACCGGAATCGAACCTGGGACCCTTCAGTTTGTAGGCTGATGCTCTTTCCACTGAGCCAAACTGGTTAGGGTAAATAACTTAATTCTTAGTAAAAGCAAGTTCACATTTCATTACTAGTAATAATTTCAGAGTTGAATTCAAGGTATATTTCTATGGTAATAATATCAATATTCTAGTTCTGTTCTTAATTTTTATTATAGAAGTTTAATTTTCCCCAATTCCATGTTTTTATTCTGTAGATAACAGTAAAAAGAAAACTAAGAGACTAAGAATAAAAAGAAGTCACCGTGTAGAACCCGTTAATACAGATGACTCTGCTCCTAAGAGCCCAACACCACCCCCGCCGCCCCCTCCTGGTGAGTAATTTAATATCAATACTGAATTTAGAAATACTGCTTTAAATAATGAAGAAAAAGAAAGTAATTATGTAATTTTTATTCAGTATATTCATTATTTTGTGATGTTTTGAAAAGTTAGAGTTCTTTGCTCTCTCTCGTTCATAATTTATCAACGTAAGTTACCTATTGCTTTTTTAACAATCAAAATGTAAAGGTAAAAAAATAAGTTAAAAAAAAAATCTTATGCAGGCACTTCCTAGAATGGATTCAAATCTTACTTAAAATATCATTGCACAGATGCTAAAAGGAATTTAAGCTTACTGAATGGATGGTTAATATGAGCTTTTAAAAAATTGATCTTTCATCCTGAAAGTAAACATTTGAAACCAACATATGTGAATTTTTTCATTATATTTTCAACTTACATACTGACCTCCTAAGTTTTTTTATGAGGATTAAATGGAATACTGCATGTAAAGTGCTGGGACAGTACCTTGTATACTATATGTGCTCAATAAATACCTAAACAAATATGTTTATAGTGTCTTTTTAGCTCAGCCAGAAGGCTTTATTAGGGGTGTCGAACTCAATCAGAGAAGGGGCCAAAATCTAAAATCCAGCCTAAATCGCGGGCCGAATGGTTTACTGAACAGTCATAAACTGTCATTGTGATGGAAATGCAGCGGAGTGCAGTGATGACAGCGTGGTGCGGGCCACATTGCAAGGCCTGGTGGGACGGATTTGGCCCGCGGGCCTTGTGTTTGACACATGTGCTTTAGATGGTAACATTTTCCTTTGGGAATTATTTGAAGACTCATTTCTAGTATTCCATTTAATAAGTAAACATTTCTTATAGCCTCTGGTGGGGGTTACAACAATAGCCTAAAGTTTTTTATGGTAGTGGTGAAGATGAGTATATTTTTAACTGAAGGCAAATAAAAATTTAAAGCAAATGTTATCAGCTTACAGCTCAATTTATCAGCTTAAATTAGAAGTCATTTAAAATGGGATTATGGTTATTCAGTACTGTGCCATTCAGTATATAGGAATTGACATAAAATGTTATATACATTCCTGTCCAGGGAGGGATCCTCTCAACCAATCTAAATATGTATTATTTAACAGTGTTTTAAATGTTTTTCTTTTTCTTTAGTTGGCTGGGGAACACCCAAAGTCACTAGACTTCCAAAACTTGAGCCTGTTGGTGAAACACGTCATAATGGTAATGTAAAAGGATCAGTTTTCAAGTATCTGTACTTATTACATTCAATTTTCTTTACCTCATTACTTTAGCAAACTTTTATTTTTGGAAGCCCTTCAAATCTATAGCCATCCTTTTTTATTATACGTCTTCTTTTTCTATTTAATTGTTTTATTCTTAATGCTCTTTGCCTCTGAATAATTTGAATTGATGTTTACCTTAGAATACAGAGATAAAAATGTTCATTCATTATATATTTATGTAAATAGTGATGGATAGGGAAAGGCTTTACAGCAATTTAAATTAAATAGACATTACAGTTATAGTGCTTAAAAACTGCATTATCTTATATGTATGTACTCAGTATACTCAACGATGTCATATAATTGCTCTTCCTCTGCTTCTAATAAGACACCAAGCTGCTGAATATTAAAATGAAGTAAAAAGATCAACACAGTTGTAGAATCAGAGACTAATCAAAGTATATTAAATAAACTTCGGCTAACTAGAAAGTTATTACAAAGGCTTTGTTGCCTCAAGAAAGTAATTTTTTTTTTTGGATGAAATTAATATAAGGGATAGTCCAGCCAGCATATGGCACTAGAACTCCACAACTGGAAAACTGGAGAAAGGGCCTTTTGGGGCCTTGTACCCAGGCAGAAGCTTTAATTTTAGTTCGTCAGCCCAAATTCTTTCAAAGAAATACTTCCGGAATGCAAAAGGATAATATATGTATATTATAGCTCAATAAATTTCTCCATCAATAACATCCAATTTGCTTTTTGATGACACTGTTTACCCAATCTAGAGTTTTTGGTTTCTTACAGAGACCCCTTTATGGGGGGGAGGGGGAGGGTCAGAAGTGTAATCTTTAAAAAAGCTTTATTTTACTATATAATTTGAAATTATATCAAACTGAATGAAATACTTTCATTCAAAAAGTATGTAAATATAAATGCGCTCTTTGCTCTCTTTTTAAGAATACTACAGATCAGTAATGAAATATTTCTTTTTATAAGGCCCCTCCCAGGGCCCTGTTATTTTTCCTTCATTTTTCACTTTTGCCCTTTAAGGAGTCAAACGTCAAAGAACAGGACATTAAAAAACAACAGTGTATATTAGCTAAATTAGAAACAGACTGGCCGAAACCAGTTTGGCTCAGTGGTAGAGCGTCGGTCTGCGGACTGAAAGGTCCCTGGTTCTATTCCGGTCAAGGGCATGTACATTGGTTGCGGGCACATCCCCTGTGGGGGGTGTGCAGGAGGCAGCTGGTCAATGTCTCTCTCATCGATGTTTCTAGCTCTCTATCTCTCTGCCTTCCTCTCTGTAAAAAAAAAAAAAAAGAAAGAAAAAAAGAAAAAAAAAGAAACAGACTGTACAACCTAAGGAAAAGCTCGGAAAACACATAAAAATACATTAAATTTATACCTCAGGTTGATCCTCAGCATAGAGGCAGCATATACCAACCAAAAACAATAAATAAAAGCAGTAACGACGACTAGAAAAAGCAAAGCCTGGGGGAAGGGGAGATTCTGATTTCTAGAATTACCACATAATTAGATTCAAATATCCAGTGTTCAACAAATAAATCTCAAGGCATATAAAGAAATAGGAAATATGGCTCATTCAAAAGTAAAAATATATTAAAAAGAATTTGTCCCTAAAAAAGATTTAATGGCAGATTCAGCAGGCAGTGACTTTAAAACAATAATCTTAAGGAAACTCAAAAACTAAAGGAAGATCTAGAGAAAAATTTTTAAAAATGTGTGAACGAAATAGAAATATCACTAAAGAGACAGGAAACCTAAAAAAAAACCACACAAAACCCACAAATTCTGAAGCTGAAAACTATAACTAAAATGTAAAATTTACTAGAAGAATTTGGAAGCAGAAAAAAATAATGATCTTGAAGATAAAAAAAAAAAAATAGGAAGCCCTGGCCAGTGTTGCTCAGTGGTTAGAGTGTTGGTCTGTGCTCCACAGGGTCCTGGGTTGATTCCCAATCAAGGGCACATACCTAAGTTTCAAGTTGAATCCCCAGCCGCCCCAGGGCATGTGCCAGAGGCAACCAATTGATGTGTCATATAGATGCTTCTCGCTCCCCCTCTCTCCCTCCCTTTCCACTCTGTCACATCAATGTTCCTCCCCTCCCCCCCCCCTCTCTCTTTCTCTCTCTCTCTCTCTGCATGTCTTCCAGTGAGGATTTAAAAAAAATAAAGCATATGTAATACATAAAATGAAAAACCAATAGATTTTTAGGGTTTATCTGAGATCATCTGAGATGCTGATAGGTGCCAATGTTTTGCATATAATTGCAGTTTCCCCCCCATCCCCTAATTTTATAAACATTTTTTTTTTTTTTTTTGCATTTGGTTCATGGAAAGTAGACAGATACATGATGAACTAGCATAGATAATTATAGATTAACTGTAATTGGCTTGGTACTTATAATGTATTGTGATAAAAAACAATTTTGTATCATCAGATGGGAATTTTTTAAAATATATTTTATTGATTTTTTTTTACAGAGAGGAAGGGAGAGGAATAGAGAGTAGAAGCATCAATGAGAGAGAAACATCCATCAGCTGCCTCCTGCACAACCCCTACTGGCGATGTGCCCACAAACAAGATACATGCCCTTGACAGGAATCTAACCTGGGACCCTTCAGTCTGCAGGCTGGTGCTCTATCCATTGAGTCAAACCAGTTTGGGCAGATGAGAATTTTAAAGGAAGATTCTTACTTGCTTTTTTTTTTTTTTTTATAGACATTTACTTTCATAGCAATTTGATTCTACTTTTCTAATTGCTTTTATTATCTGTACTGCTTATTCAGTGTAACAGATAAGACAAATGCATTCAGAGAAGAGACAATCTAAATTCCCTTTGTAAACACTCAGTCCATACTTCATCAATATGTTATGTATTATACATTATGAGAACTAAATCAGATTTATTAAAAAACACCAAATGTACAAACTATATTTTCAAATTTAAAATATGAACAAAGATAAAATTTTGTATCTAGTATTACTACTTTTCAGTTTTTCATGTTAAAAGTGTTTGAACCCTTTATAATAGGGGTGTCGAACTCAATCAGAGAAGGGGCCAAAATCTAAAATCCAGCCTAAATCGCGGGCCGAATGGTTTACTGAACAGTCATAAACTGTCATTGTGATGGAAACGCAGCGGAGTGCAGTGATGACAGCACGGTGCGGGCCACATTGCAAGGCCTGGCGGGATGGATTTGGCCCGCGGGGCTTGTGTTTGACACATGTGCTTTATAAAAATGGGTATTAATTAAATTGGTCATACCATTTAGGCACTGAGATCAACTTATATATCCCACAGTTAAGGCAATAAGAAACATACTTTGTAGAATGATTTAAATTTTCTGACAAAGAATACAAAATCAACTGCAAAAATAATATTTTGGGAAATGAAAAAAATACTTCTTGCCAGGTTTTCATAGTTGGACACTGGCTCCCTTGGCAGTTTCTGTTCATGAATGTCTCCAGTAAATTGAGACTCACTGTGTTTGCCTGTCTGTTTGTCCAATATTTGAGGCAGTTGTTTGTCCTGTGACTCCTTTTCCCCCTTACAGATCCAGGAAGAATTCTTGATTTTTCAGTTTTTTTTTTAGCTATTACTTCATCTTAAGATGGAGTGATGACTTCCAATTTCCTTAAATGCTCATAGAATTTTGTTAAATTGACATTTGTTAAGTAGAGCCCCTGCATGCTGGATGGTAAGCTTGGGTCCTGGAAAACCACCAGAGACATTGCAGTAGAGAAGTTATTCCTCACAAGTCCTGGAGGAAGTAATAGCATGCCTCCAGGGTCCACAGTGGGCGCCAGGGCAGGGTGCAGGCTGAGAGAGCTGCAGGACCTGGGCACTTGCCTTTACTAGGGTCTGTGGGTGATATGCTTTGGTGTTCTCAGGCGAAGGCCACATTGGTCAATTCAAACCAAATAAAGGAGTTTTGTTAAGTTCCACCTCGGTCTTATCTAAAAAAGGCCCTGGAAGCTCTGCAAGGGATAGTGTTGAGCATAGGGCCATTGGGGAAGTCATATCAAGAACTTACATTTATTTACAGCTCTGCATGTGCTTGCATGAGAGCTACTCTCTGTTTAAGGTCCTCCACAGGTCCCTTGGCCAAACAAAATGAATATTGAGGCAGCAGTATCATGGACTAACTTAGCTAAACTATAGACACAGGCCGAATTGGAAATGGGCCCCTAATACATTTTCAGTATATTTGTCTTACATGATCCTGAAGATCTTTGCTTCTAGAGTAATTTCAAGGGAATAAGCCAGAAAGCAATTAATTACTGAAATGTTAGATATGCTATTAAATTTATAAGCCAATTTGTGATAATGAAGGGATAGGAACTTATTAATAAGACATTTTTGTATAAAAGTCCTAAATCACTGTACTATTTTGAAGCATCATTGTGATTCTTACTTACCGTACACTAAGATTATTAATTACTTCTTCTCCCAAAATACCTAGAAGAAATCACCATTGAGTAAGAACATGGGTTGTACAAATACTGACTTATCAGGGCTTTGACCATTTGTTGAGAGTATTTGTTATTTGTTTTCTTCTAATCTGAATGTGTAATTGGAAACAAATAATGTATACATTAGGTATAGCTTTTTACTAAATGAAGTAGAGATTAATTTATAATCTAGAGTTAAGAATTTACTCTATTGTTGTCTTTTAAATTTATTCAAGTTTTCTTGGATTTTTATTTTTTTCTTTCATGCTTCATCTGTCAAGTCAGAGTCTTTTTTTATTTTTTAAGGTATTAGTTGGCAAATAATGAATTGTGTCAGAAATATTTATTTACCATAACAGTTTGGTATTTGTATTATTCTTTCTCTACATAGATTTTTATGGGAAGCCACTGCCTCCATTGGCGGTGCGACAGAGGCCAAACAGTGATGCTCATGACATGATCTCATAACCAAGTCGTACAGATGAGCCGTCTTAATATCAGCAAGATGAACTAGAAGACCTTTCTGAAAAAATAAAACCCTGTACATTGGTGACTGGGACAAGATGACCATAGCAATTTCAGTGAGGAAATTGATAACCAAAGATCTCACTGATCTGATAATTACTTATCCATGTTGTTTGTGGTTTAATAAAAAATAAAATAAAATAAAATAAAATAAAAAACCAGCAGATGGGATGAGCATTATGGACCAAATTACCAAGAGTTAGAATTAACTCTGGTTTATACATCTCCACTCATGGGCATATTCCTGAAGGAAAACCTTTCAGAAAAAGCCAATAGACTTTGCACACTTTCATTACTATTTGTTTAATAGTCTTTATTTCTGTACCGTAAACCTTTTTTGCAAGATACATGTGCATGGAAGGGGAACTCTTGGGAATTTATAACCTAAATTTTTAACTTTTTATATTTTTCTAAAACTTTTGTTTAAGAATTTTAATTACTATGATATTGACTGTATACTTTTCTATAGATGCTTTGTTTAAATTGTATCTGGAAAATAGAGTTCATGTACTGGACAAACATTAACTATACAAATGATATATTTATATGTTTTGAGATATATTTTATAATAGTATTGTTCTTGAAGTATACATACTAATTTGACCTAATTTTAAAATAATATTTAAAAAAATAAATTCTCAGATTTTTATTCTAACAAATTATATTATTTGAAAGCACTACCCAAGCAGAGTTAATTTTTTTGTAGTTGTTTTCTTTGATGATGATTCTAATAAAAGAGACTTGAAAAAATAAAATAAAAATTTTATGCAAGATATTATTAAAAGTCCCAAGAAACCCCTATTTAAAAGGTGAAACCCTTCAGAGATCATTGCTCCTTGTCACTCCTTTGTCATCAGCAGCTGCAGTGACTCATAGGTTATTGTAATTCTTTAGTGCCTTGAAATTAAAGGCAAAAAGACTGAAAAAGTTCCTGAAGGTTCAGAAACTTGTTTCATAACAGGGATATACTTGGGTACTAAAGCAAGAATAAAGAAACAATTCCAAAATAATTTTTATAAAGAAATAATTCCAAAATAATTTCTCAATTTAAAATAATAGCATTTTTCTTGCACTGAAGAATGGCATCTATAGGATTCTCTATTTTTCTGGCTTTTAGATGTATGTTTTGAGGAGTAGATTCAAATGTTGCATTTAACTGAAAGCACTTATTCCTATCAAGGTAAAAATACTACAAACGGTGTGATTCCTATATAACCTTGTCAGAATTGGTCAGCTTGGTAATTTGTACTGACAACAATAAGATAAGTATGTTAAGGCAGTTTAGTGTGATTACTTGAAAGTTTTACTTGAGAGCATCATCTGTTATTCCAATTTTAAACTTCCTGAACTTTCATTAATCATTTCACTTATTACTCAAGTCAGCTTTATTAAGTCTTGTACATGGAACCAACCTAGCATTCTATCAATACTTCAGATATAAAATTCATAATAACCTAAATGAGATAGGCAGCTGAAATGTAAGGAAAATCAGCACAAGGAGACATGTAAATTTTGAACTGGATTTTAGGGGAAAAAAACTCATTTGTACATCTTTTTTATTTCTTTTGTAACGTTTACATTTCTTCATTTAAAAAAGAAACTGAACTCATACTTTTGCCATCTTTTTAAGATTCATCTAGTTTGAGAATAAATGTGTTTTTTTTTAACTTGTGATTACTGTACTATACAATAATCACTGAGCCCATTTAATTAAAATAAATTTTGAAATTAAATATTTATTGAAGTGAAATTCAATAAATATTGAAATAAATATTTTTTGAAGTTTCATATATCTCAGAAATTAATTTTTATTCTTAAAGCATTCTAAAAATACTTTAAAATAAGTTTTGTAAGTCGAGGTGGCTTTTAATAAAATGCCTATTTTGTTATATGCTGCATTTTTCTTAATATATCATAAATTATGACAATTTCAACAATAAACAATTTATATCAGTATTCTGTTTTCTCTTGTCATTTGATAAATTTAAATTATTTGGGGTAATAAAATAATAGAAAGCTTTTAAAATATAATTGTTGCAAGATATTTTAAGTAGGTAGATTAAAATGTTTTCCTGTTTTACATTGAAAAACTTTGCAAAAGGTTTCATATATGTGGGAAATAATTTAAAAACAGTTAAAAATCAGATCATATCATCTTATGATTCTCTATGATTTGATGTCTGTCATTTTTTAAGTTAAAGATACTGACCAAAAGATATCTTTTTACTTATATAAAAAGAAATTCTATATGCCTTTATATGTAAAATGCATTATAACATATATACAATCCTATATAATAAAACCCTAATATCCAAATGGCAGAACAACCTGCAGGATGACCTGTTGCCGTGATGCACACTGACCACCAGGGGGCAGACGTTCAATGCAGGAGCTGCCCCTGGAGGTCAGTGGGCTCCTAGAGGGGGAGTGCTGCTCAGCCAGAAGCCGGCTCATGGCTAGCCAGCACAGCGTTGGTGGCAGGAGGTGAGGAGCAAGGGGTTCTGGACTGAGAGAGCCCCAGACTATGAGAGGGCACAGACTGAGCTGAGGGACACCCCCCGTTTCCCCCCTTCCCCCCCCCTCCGGCTCTCCCCCTTCCCCCCCTCCCCCTCGGCCAGTGCATGGATTTAATGTACCAGGACTCTAGTATTATATATAATTGATTTCAATTATAAAACTGTATGGAAACAACATTAGAAAAAAGTATTGCAAAATGCTAACAGTGCCTGTTTTAGAGTTATTAGTTGTATTTTTTCCTCAAATTTTCAAATTAATTTTTGTAATTTTGCTTTTATAATGGGGAAGAAAATTTGAAATTTTTAAAACATTAAGTGCCATTGTTATGCAAGTTTAAAATTAAGTACTCATTTAAATGTCATATGAACGACAATATAGAATTCACTTAAAATATTGTTAGTACTTCAGAGACATTCAACTGTAGATTATGCCAGTCAGTATATTTGCAGTTGATTTCTTACTAATGATCTTTTACTAAGACAACATTTTAGTTTACTTGGTTCTATATGCCAAGCTATTTATGTTATTCAATTTCTCCCATTCCACACTGAAGAAATCCAGTGCTTCCAGGTAGCAAAAATTTATCAGAATTGAAACTTTATACATATAAAGCTGTAACTTATAAATTGTAATACCTTGCTTTAATTCATAAGTTTTTCTGTAAAGGAGTATATGTTGCAAATCAGATTCTGTTAATACTGACTAATTTACCAAGAAATATAGTCCAAAAAAAGGAAAAATATATAGTCCAGATGATCCAAAGAACAAAAAATTCAGATATTTCAAAAAATACATATTAAAGTGTGGTATAAATGAACAAAATAGTGATAATTCTTTAGCTGTGGAAACAGAAGAATAGAATCCCTCTTGAGAAAAAAATAGGGAATCATAAATGAATTTTCTTTAATAAGGGGATTAGCTTATAACTAAAGGAAAACAGAATGAAAATAATTTGCATGTTAAGAACCTGAGTTGTATATTTCTCCTGTATGCTGATGAGGAAACAATATATGACTTAGGTAATGAATCAGTGGTCTTCAAATTTTACAATGCATTCCTTTCAGTGAACATTTTGAGTATACATAACAAAGTACTACAAACTGGGTGGCTTAAACAACTGCAATTTATCCTATATAAGGCTAATATGCAAATTGATGGAACAGCGGAATGACTGGTTGCTATGATGTGCACTGACCACCAGGGGGCAGACACTCGACGCAGAAACTGCCCCCTGGTAGTCAGTACGCTGGAAGCCTAGCTCACCGCTGACGAGTGCGAGTGCAGCAATGGAGACTGGTGCCTCTCCCACCTCCACTGCAGGCAGGCGGTAAAGAGCAAGGGGTGCCGGACTGCCCCCAGACTGCAAGAGGGATGTCAGCCTGCTAGCTTAGGCCCAATTCCTGGGGCCTAAGCTAGCAGGCTGACATCCCCTGAGGGATCCCGGACTGCGAGAAGGTGCAGGCCAGGCTGAGAGAACCCCGTCTTCAGTGCACGAGTCTCCTGCACCAGACCTTTAGTTTTCTCATAATTCTGAAGTCTGGAATTCCAGGTCAAGGTATAGGAATATTTTCTTCTGGAATATTTCTTTCTTGGCTTCCTCCCTGTGTATTCACATGGCCTTGTCTCTGTGTAAGTTCTCTCCTCGTGATTTAGAAGGACACTAGTCAGATTGAATTAGGATCCACCTTAATGATCTTTTTTTTTTTTTCTTAACTTAATCGTCTCTAGAAAGACCCTATTTCCAAATATGTCACATTCTGAGGGACTGGGATTTAAGGGCTTCAACATATGGATTTTGAGGGCATAAGTTTCGGCCCATAATAGTTACTACTGTATATTGTACTTCATACATTCATACATCCCCCTAAGCATTTTTTAAAGATTAGATAAAATTAAAATACAAGCTATTGTGTTTATTCCCGTCTCAGTGGGTTGACTCCTGGAATCAGTACACACCACTTTGGAAGCCTAAATTGAGAGCCTTAGCTAACTAGCTACTCTTACCTGAAGTCCAAGTCCAAGTGCCTGTAACTAACTTTGCTTGGTTCTCCTGCTCTGATGGCAGGTTTCTCCTGTGTTTTTCTGCCATCCTGATGTTCTCTTAAATGTCAGATTGTTTTCCTATAAAGTCTATCTTTACTTTTGACACATACACCTCTATATACACAAGAAGGTTTTTGAGAGATGTCTTATGTAAATATGAAAATTCATGAACAGTATAGGAGATAGTCTATAAAGTATACTTATTCTGAAATATTTCTTAGATAAATGACTTCACAATAAAGTTGCTTAAGATTGTAAAATAATAATACTTTCCTGTTTAGTAGTAATTTCTTACTAAGATGCTTTATTCTAAACAGTGAATATGCTTTGTGGTTTGAGCATTTTCACAATGCTCATTTTACTTCTTAATACTGTATCTTATCTCCCACCAAGCCAAAATTTATTTTAAGATTACTAGAGAACTTGTTGAAATAAATATATTAAGCTTCAAATCACATTAGTGGTAATAACATTTATCTGTTTACATGGTCCTAAGAGTTGCACCTATCGTATACACCCACACTGATATTTGGAGTGTCCAGGGTCTCAAAATCATGTTGCTTATCATTAAATATCAGGGATCGCATTAAGCACTGATTTTCTCTGTGAGGTTGCTGATTGCTGTTACAGGGAGCAACTAAAGAGTGATCCTGAAGAGCAAATTAAACTGCTGTCCTCACCTGAGAACCAGTAACGCTGCCCTTCACGCAGGAGGGGCTGGTGGCCATTGTGCAGGGTCATTCTGACCTTCAGGCACTGGGTATCAGAACTTGATAAAGACCACGATAGTGAAAATAATGCACAGCAGCAGCTAACCTTGGAGCGTTTACTGTTTCCTGGCCTTTGTGCTAAGCGCTCTACTTGTTTATTTTAATCAATTCTATCATCTAACCCTCTCATTAAAGGAAAAGGATTATCCCAATGGGCCATCTCTAGGAAATGTGACAATTTCTCTTCCCCCATATCCATCCTTTTATCCTGAGTCCTGCGTATCTGGGCTCACGGGGAAGTTGTGGGACTTGGTAGATTAATTCGACAACCAGCTTCGCCTCTGAGAACGTTTAAAAACAATTTTCCGGAGCCCCAGGAGCACAAAAGTCAAAGCCGGCCCAGCGGGCGGCCTGAGGTCCACGACAGTCCGCCCAGGGCCCCCGGCCACGCCCCCAGGCTCCGGGCACGCCCCCCGGGCGTAGGCTCCGCCTCCTCCAGCCGCGGATGGAAGCCACTCAGCGAGTGCCTCTCGCGATACCTATGACACTTTGGGGAGATTTCGGTAGCGCTGGCAAAGCAGTATCTCGCGAGAAGTTGCAAAGACGGCCAGGCGGAACTCCGGAGCCGGGCGCTTTTGGTTCCCTAGAGCTTTAGCTGTTGGACCGTGTGGCCCTCTCGTCTGGCGTCTCCTGGCGGGATGGTGTTGACCCGGGTGAGGGTCGGGCCGGACGCTTACTTAAGGGCCTGGCGGGCGGGGCCGGAGGGGCCTGGGACTAGGGGACTTGGGGGATCGCTGGGTTTCTTTGGTCCCAGTGTCCGGAGCGCCTCCGGTAACCCGTGTGCATCCCAGCCCGCTGCCCCGAGTGCCTGCTCCTTCCGCTTCCGCTTCCGCTGGACGCCGGCTCCCCGCGGGCTGGCGCGGCGGTCCCTGCCCCGTCCCGGGCGCACACCACAGGGCCTGCTACGTAGCGGGCCCTCGATACGCTTTTCTTGGGTGATTCCATGAATCAGAATAGCGAGGACGTCTCCGAGGAAACCAGAGTGACTTTTCTCCCTAATGAACTTTATTTTGGATTAATTTTACATTTAGAAAAACACTCCAAGGATAATAAACCGCCTTCCCATGTGCTTTTCACCCAGTTCTGTTAACCCCTGAAATGACTCGCCTAAGTTGGCTTTCTGTGCTAACAACACTAGGCTGCTTTTACCGTCGCTTTACATCGGAGAAACACTTTTTAAAATCAGTATGTAGAGCACGGTAATGCAGCTTGCTTACGTGTGAGGTGCTGCTCCCATGGCAAGAGCCAGTGCTTATCTCAAGTGTCCTTAAGAAAAAAAGACTGCTAATGTTGACGTTCAATAAATTTGTAATATCAGAGTGTGTCAGCAACTTTTTCTTATCATCATAGCTGAAAGCAAAATCAGAGGGGAAGCTTACAAAACAGATTTGCAGAGTGGTACTGGACCATTTTGACAAACAGTATTCCAAAGAACTTGGAGATGCCTGGAGTGCAGTAAGGTTAGTATAATTCACCTCTGGATCTGGTTAATATAATTCATCTCTGATCTTTGCAGTAGAATAAGAAAGGCAACGTCTTGGGGGCGGGGCGCGGTGAGAATAAAAGATAGAGGAGTCTGAACTTGGCTGTGATTTCTACCAAGGCTACGGAAGGGAAGAACTAGGAGGAAGTACGTAGGTTAAGTCATAGAAACATAGCAAGGGGGATAAAAACTGTAGTGAACAAAAGTTGTTATACCCTCGCCTTGAACAATTGCTTTGATCTTTGAAACAGGAATGCCCACCAATCTGACAGAATTAACTGTACTGTAACAAAAATCTTTTTTAAGCTTTTGAGGATATTTGACCTGTTTCTGTAATTCAGAAGATAATACAGCACACCTTTAAAACTAGCACTGTTTTATCTTAGTTAAAGTCATTTTTGGCAATCGTATTTCTTCCCTCTATATGGCTGGCTATGTTTGGAACACACATTCGAGCTTGCGCACGCATTTACAGTATACACAAGATTCCTTAAATGCATTATAGAAAACAGATAAGCATTTAATCCATAGAAGTAAGTGAGGGAAGTCTGATTTGTATGTTTAGTGAGTTTTTCCTTTTTCAGAATGTTCCTCCGTAAGCTCTTCATACTGAGTTCCTCACATACCGGGCCCTGTGGGATGCAAAGAGCAAGACAGTCTGTGTTCAGTGCACTTTTACTCTGGTGTTCACTGGGAGAGGGGACATGGTTAAAGCTTTGTAAACCTCTAATTCCAGAGTATCCTGATAGAAATAGGCAGGGGTACCTGGTCTTATCTCATGGTGCCAGCAAAGGCCTGTGGAGAAGTCAGGTCATGGTGACTTAATAGAGTTACCTTGGCAAAAGGAGCCAGGCATTTTAGACGGAGGGAAGAGAGCATTGCTTGGGAAGTCAGGGACAAAAACCTGGTGCATTTTGCTCAGGGAAGAAAAGTTACATGGCTATAGATAATATCTGGAACTTGATTAGATGGCTGTCTCAATCATCTCTTGTTGGGTCAACTCAATGACCATTCCTTCTTTACAAAGGACAGTTTAAAGCACTTTTTAAAAACTCTTTGTTTTTAAAACAAAGAGATTAAGTCTTGACTATTGAGTCTGAGGTGATTGTGAGATAATTTTAGGACAAATTAAACTGGTTTTATAACTTGTAAATACTGTAATATAAAATTGTACTTTATTTTTGTGCTTCCCCTCCCCCAAAAAACTGTTTTTTAAAATGGGTATTTTCTATCACAGAGAAGAAATGAGAAAGAACGAATAGTGAACAGTAAATTCATGAGGTTTTCAGTATGCAATGTATTCAACCAAATAACCAAACTCCTGTTGCATGCTTATTATGTGCCACCCAATACAAACTTTGTGATCCTCAGAACAAACTCATGAGTTTTGTTTCCCATTTTTCAAACCTGAGGAAACTACATAGAGTTTAAGTAATTTCCTAAATTCATCCAGAGCTGAGATTAGTGTTCAAGCTCTCTGATTTAAGAACTTCCACTGTTCAATTCTATTCTGTATGCTTCTCATACCTGTGATGTGTTTATACATACATGGATGATTTTTTATTGGTAAAAACCACAGATTTCAGGAGGTATATTGTCTTCGGACTTTATAGTAATCTGGCCTGTATAAATCTGGCTGCCCATACCCTGTAATGAGCTATTTTTGTCTTCAATATGCTCAGTCAAATTTATAATTATTACTTGACCCTAAACAAAATGAGCAGTGAACCTCAAAGCCATTTAATTAGCCGTGCCTTCTGCTTCATCTACCTTTTTGTTGGGTTTTCATGGTAATTTAAGTTTTGCATAAACATGTGCTAAATTTGCCGTAGGCAAAATAAAGGCTTTCTCGGCTTAGAAAGTAGTCTGAGCATGAAAAATAGCATGGGGGAAGAAAAAAAAATTTTTTGTTTTTTGGCTGTTTATTTACAAGACATAATGTGTCCAATCTAGTTTGCAGTCTACTTCCAGGGAAAGGTGAGGGTATTTTAGTCCTACCTAGAAAGTAATTTGCTCAATGTTTTCAGTTTCCTGTGGTAGAGGAAAAGATTTAACATTTATTTTAACGTTATTGTTTTGTGATGAACTTTCTTGCACAGTCACCCTCTGGGCAGCCCTTTAAAGTTGAAGTCTACCCTGGTTCAGGTTTTGCTGCACCTGTTGCCTGCACGTTCTCCTTCAGTGAGCCCCCTCATGGCATGTGTATAACCTTCCCTCACTACGCTGTCATTTCAAGCTATGCAGTCCCATACTTCTAAGTGTTTTCTGGTAACTTCACTTAGTTTTATGCCAAGCAAACTAAAAAGCGTCTTATTATTTTTCCTTTCCAATTCTAATTTGTTCTTTGCTACTTGCATACTTTATCTCAATTGAAGGCATCCCATCCATCTAGCAGTTTCCTTTCTTTCCTATGCCTTCACTACCTTTGTAGTAAAGAATGACCCTTACTCAAATACAGGTCTGCCGTTTCCCTTAGGTCCTTAGAGGTGGTCTCTAAGTATTATACTTGCCATACGTTGCCTAAGAGTATCTTTGTTTTCTTGGGGGCTTGAGCCACAACATCAGCTTGGCCTGTGACTTTTTTTTTTTTTTTCATCTTTATTTATTTTTTATTTTTTTATTTTTATATATTTTATTGATTTTTTTTGGCCCCCCCTCCCTCCCCAGAGTTTTATGTCCATGGCCTGTGACTTTTGATCTCCAACCTCTGGAGGGGCCGAAGATCAGCCACATAAGGCTGGTTGGCTGTCATCTTCCTATGGCTGAGGCAAAATAAAATGTAGACACTGAGGCTCCCGTGAGCCTCCATAGTTGGCAGTGTGATAATACACACTGCGTATTATCACGCATTGTGGCAAGGAAAAGTTATCCTTACCCATGTTTCACTGGGTAAGAAGACTGGGTCAAATGGGAGTTCTATTTTTAGTTTTTTGAGGAAACCCCATGCTGTCTTCCACAGTGGCTGCACCAGTCTGCATTCCCACCAGTAGCGCATGAGGGTTCCTTTTTTCTCCACATCCTCATCAGCACTGTCATTTGTTGATTTGTTGATGATTGCCATTCTAACAGGTGTGAGATTCTACCCAGTTTTGATTTGAATCTCTTGGATGATTAGTGACTTTGAGCATGTTTTTATATGTTTCTTGGCCTTCCTTCTGTTCTCTTTCAAAAAGTATTCTTTTAGGTCTGTTGCCCATTTTTTTATTGGGTCTTTATCTTCCTTTTGTTAAGTTGTATAAGCTCCCTGTTGGAGATTAAATCTTTATCAGAAATAACATTGGCAAATATATTCTCCCATGCAGTGGGCTTTCTTGTTTTGTTGATGGTTTCTTTTGCTGTAAAAAAGCTCATTCTCCCCCCCCCCCCCCCCATTGCTCTCCTCCACCAGGTTCCCACCCCACCCTCTGTCCTTTCCCCACCCCCCATTGTCCTCATCTATAGGTGCCCAGTTTATGTTCAGTCTCTTCCCACACCCCCCTCTCCCCTTTTTTGCCAATCGTCAGTCCACTCCCCTACCATACCTCTGATTCTATTATATTCACCAGTCAATATTGTTCATCAGATTTTTTTTTAATTCCCTTGGTTTTTAGATTCACTTGTTGATAGTTAGGTATTTGTTGTTCATAGTTTTTATCTTTATTCACTTTCTCTTCCGAAAGAACCCCCTTCAGTAATTCATATAATTCTAGTTTGGTGGTGATGAACTCCTTTAGCTTTTTTTTATTAGTGAAGCTCTTTATCTGGCCTTTGATTCTGAGTGATAGCTTTGCTGGGTAGATTATTTTTGGCTGTAGGTTCTTGCTATTCATCACCTTGAATATTTCTTGCCATTCCCATCTGGCCTGCATGGTTTCTGTTGAGAAATCAGCTGACAATCGTATGGGTGCTCCTTTATAGGTAACTACCTGCTTTTCTCTTGCTGTTTTTAATATTCTCTTTGTCTTTTGCTCTTGGAATTTTAATTATCATGTATCTTGGTGTGGTCCTCTTTGGATTCCTTTTGTTTGGAGTTCTGTGCGCTTCCTGGACTTGTAAGTCTAATTCCTTCACCAGGTGGGGGAAGTTTTCTGTCACTATTTCTTTCAGTATGTTTTCAATATCTTGCTCTCTCTCATCTTCTGGGACCCCCATAATTCTGATGTTGGTTTGCTTGAAGTTGTCCCAGAGGTTTCTTACATTATCTTCAACTTTTTGGATTCTCTTGCCTTCTTGCTTCTGCGGAGGAGTGTCTTCTGGCTCTTTATGTTCCAAATCTTTGACTTGATTCTTGCAATCTTCCATTCTGTTTTTAGGACTCCATATAATATTTTTTATTTCAGACAGTGTATTCTTTATTTCTTGTTGATCCCTTATTATTTCTTGTTGATCCTTATTATTATAGTTCTCGTTGATCCCTTTTCATCTCCTCATAGGTCTTGTCGACCTTTTCTAGGAAATTCTTGAAAAACCTTATAAGCTTGGTTTTGAAGCTCTATATCCAGTCTCTTCTTTTCCTCCATTTCTTTTGTTTGTGCTCTATTTCCTTGTCTTGGCATTTTCACAGCTTCCCTGAGTTGGTAGGGTGGCTTTGTGTGCTAAAGTGTCCTATATGGTTCAGTGAGTTAGCATCCCAGTTACCTGAGATAGACAGTCTTGGTGTAGCCCTTTGTGGGCTGTGTGTGCAGTCTTGTTGTTAAGCCTTGCTTGTTGTTGGTATCACTGGGAAGCATTGATCTCCAAGCTAATTGGCTATGAGGATCAGAAGTGTCTCAGCTAGGAGGGTTTCTGTATTCCGCTTGGATGGGCGGAGTCTCGGGTGGCACAGCCAAGCTTTGTTGAATCCCGCACAATTGGTTGTCTGCCTCTTTGGTATAGGCGCAGACAAGCTTTGGATTCTTGTCTGTCACTCCCTAGGAGAGTCCTTTTGGCAGCAAATGAGAAAGCTAGCCACTGGAAGGGCCTCTGTGCTCCGCTTGGATGGGGCTTAGTCTTGGGGTG